AATAAAAATATCTAATACTAATAAAACAGTTGCCGTCTGTGGAGACTTTAACATTAACTTATTAGATAAATCTAGTATTGTTAATAGATTTTTAATCTTATTGAAATCATATAATTTATATAATATTTTCCTTGAGCCAACTAGAATAACTGCCACCAGTGCCACTTGTATTGACAATGTTTTTACAAATGTGAAGCCAACTTTCTATTCAATTATTAATCTGTTAGATTCAGATCACTGTGGCCAGTTGGTTTCATTTACTAAAGACATTGTTAAAGCAAATCGAAAAAATGTTAATTTTGTTCCAGTAACCAGTTATCGTTTAGAACTTTTTAAAAATAATTTAAATGAAAAACTGCCTGGTTTGCCTTATCACAATAACCCTGACCAAGCTTACTCTTCATTATTTAACATGATTAATTCTCAGTTTAAGAAGGTTTTTACATCTAGATCAGTTTCTGTAAGTGATCGAGTTTTGTTTAGTGACTGGGCAACACCAGGTATTTTTAAAAGCAGAATAAGATTATTTGAATTATATAATGAAAGGAACCATGATCATAGTGAAAGGTTTAGGGAGTATGTTAAAAATTACTCTAAGACTTTTAAGAGAGCCTGCGCTGCCGCAAAATCTTTACACATTAAAAACAAAATACAATCTTCTGCAAACAAAATTAAAACTACTTGGAATATTATTAATTCTGAAATAGGAAGAACCACAGTTAAGAATAATGATTTTCATCTTAAAATTAATGATATAGATGTTAGGGCGGATTTGGAGGTGGCAACCGAGTTTGAATCTTTTTTCACTAATATTCCTGTATTAACAACTCAAACTTTGTTGTCGTCTTCCGGCTCCGCATACAACATACTTAAAGACTGTGTCGCAGAATGTGGGACAAGTTTTGAATTTACAGTTGTTAGTGCTAAGGACATTCTAGATGCATTTAAAGATTTAGAAGTAAAAAAGTCCACCGATCTTTGGGGGTTGTCAGTTCAAATAATATCCTCAATATATGAATTTCCCCATTTCTGGCAATTGTGTTCAACTCTTGTGTCGCATCTGGTGTGTTTCCGGACTTAATGAAGTTAAGCAAGGTGATTCCACTCTTCAAATCTGGTAGTACAACCGATCCTACGAATTTTCGCCCTATCTCAATTTTGCCTACACTGAGCAAAATTTTTGAGAAAAATAATTTTAAAGCAAATGCTAAAGCATTTTAACAGACAGAATCTTTTTCATTCCAAACAATTTGGATTTACTAAGGGTCGGTCTACTGCTGATGCAGGTGTGGAACTACTCAAAAATGTATTCGAGGCTTGGGAGAATTCACAGGATGCTTTAGGCATATTCTGTGACTTGTCCAAAGCTTTTGACTGTGTTTGCCATGACACACTTATCAAGAAACTACACCACTATGGCATTAGAAATAAGGCTCTTAGACTTCTCAGTTCATATTTAGACAATAGAATACAAAGTGTAGATATTAATGGCAAAAAATCAAAAGGATCTGTGGTAACTATGGGTGTTCCGCAGGGTTCAATTCTAGGTCCTTTCTTATTCCTTATCTATATCAATGATTTACCTTTTTGTGTAAGGGATGATCACAAAATCCTATTATTTGCGGATGACACTTCGCTTGTTTTTAAAGTTAAGCGTCAACTTGAAAATTTTGACCAAGTTAATTTGGCACTATCTAAGGTTGTCCATTGGTTTAATGTTAATAATCTGCTTTTGAACTCAAGTAAAACTAAATTAATAAAATTTTCTACGCCTAATGTGAGGCAGTTAAGCACCAATGTACAATACTGACATGTTTTGTGCTTTTGCATACAATATTTTACACTTTGACATGCCAAGTGAATAATGTTTATATTACGATTATATTTTTCAATTTCATTATTTTTTCCTTGCTTTAAGGTACACCTTAAAAATACATTTTGTATCCATTGTAAGTGTAAACATTATGCGGGTATATCATAAACTCTTTTGCTTGATTTATAATTTGATACATTTTAGTATATAGTTATTTTGGGCTGGCGATCTGAGTGAGTTGTTGCCCCACATATTTTTATGGTGCCACTGGCGGTATTGCTGTGTACCGGGTTGTGCAGCTCCCTCAAAAATGGTTGAGCTGCATGAGCTATTCGGGGCATGCTTGCCGTCTGCTGGCACAGGCTTGCTCAGATCGATCTGGTTCTTTCTTCCAAAGACCAGTCCAGTAAATACTCTGCATTTGTTTACACCAATTTATTAATTTATTATTGTATTATCTGGACTATAAAAGAGACTAAGACCCCCGAGTTTGTTTCGACATTTCTTCTCAGGGCAGTCAGTTAGGAAATGTCGACTTCATCTAGTTTAGGATGACATTGTAAAAGTGATTTATATAGTCCTACTTGCAAGAATAAACTATTTCATTTCATTTCATTTCATTTCATTTGTTTTAAGTTTATTTTATACAAAAGTTTAGTTCTTTTATTCATCAATTGAGGCAGTACAAAGTCTACCGGGTCAGGTAGTAAGTGTAGTAATAATATGTAAAATTGAAATAAATTAGTTTTCTATAAATGATTTTTACATATATTTCTAGCATCAAAATTCAAATTCAAATTTAAAAATCATTTATTCACGTAGGTAACACAATGTACACTTGTGATTCGTCATTAAAGAAATAAATATTAATGCTTCTAATTTTACATTTACTGCCAGTTCTCAAATTAAGGGCGTAGAACGGAAGAGAAGAACTGGCAATAAACTCTCCGCCACTCTTTTTAATCGCCATGTTTTTTTTTTTTTTTTACACAACGTTTGTAAGGAGCTGCAACCATTACACCATTACACCATGTTCCACATGACATTTTAAGTAATTAATAATAATAACATAAATAAAAACAAAGACTTGTCCCCTATCAGCAGGAGGCATGGTGAAATAGGAGCACGCACTTACATTCTCGTGGGAACAACACGCAAACACATAGTCGAAATAACAACATCATATTGATTATCTTAAAAATTTACTGCTATATATATGCTAGTTGGTAAATTTTGCATTACAAAACAGACTAAGTATCCTAAATAGCTTTTATAAAAAGAAATTAAGAAATAAATGGACATGGATCTCACCGAACGGCCTTTATAAGAACGAAATTGACTTTATTATGACTAACAATAGAAAAATATTCAAAGATGTGTCGGTCATACATAACTTAAATTTTAACACAGACCATAGAATGATTCGAGCTACACTGACAGGGATACGCCCTAAGAAAACAAGACGATTTCATAATAAATACACAGTTATTCAATACAAATTCGAACCAGAAGTCCTACTTAATAATTTACAAATTTATTTATTTTTATTTTAAATATATTTATTCACAAAAAAAGTTACACCTTAAATCAAACCATGCCCCGCAAAACTGCTTACGCAGTTTGACTGCAGGTGACTCGCCTTAAATAAACATAACTTCTAAATCACTAAATTACTAACACTGCTACTACAACTAATACTAATACACTTAATTTACTTATAGGTTACAGCATATTTAACAAATGGTTTTTTAATAAACCTCTAAATTTATCCAATGAAGTCTCACGTCTTATGTCCTCGGGTAAACTATTGAGCAAGTATGGAATCCGCTTCTTCAACGTTCTATCTCCATAATAATTTTGCACCATGGGTATTTCAAATTTACCTTTGGACATTGACCTTGTGTCAGTTATATGATGCACCAAACTAGTAAAACGATCCTGCTTACCATGGTTATTTACAAGTACAAGGAATCTATGTTTCAGGCTAGCCGGTAAAATTTTACATATTTTGAATAGTTTATAATAATCTCCTTTACATTGATTCCTTGTCTTTTTATTTACTAGTAATTTTAAAAATCTTATTTGTAATGATTCTACTTTATCAATGTATGTTTTAAATGTTAACCCATAGCAGTCAAGAGCGTAACCTATTATGGAATCCACAAGTGCAAAATATAAACATTTTAGTATGGGCAATGAGACTTTAGTACGTAAATGGTAAAACTTTTCTAATAAAATTCTTAGTTTTCTACACAAAAATTCTATATGGGAATCCCAAGAAAAAGACGTATCTATTTTTACTCCAAGATAATTTACACAATTAACTTTTTCGATAGGTTTACACGTACAGTTAATTTCAATAGACAATATAGACAGTAAAGAATCAATACAAGAAAAATGCAACAAACTACTAAACCAACTAAAAACTATACCTAGAAAAGTAAACACAAACAGAAAGAAGCGAATCTCACTCAAAAGTAAACAACTACTACAGAAACGTAAGGAACTACTACAAGAAAAGAAAACTAAAGACAACCGCCGAAAAATCGCAGAAATAAGCGAAAGCATAAGCAAAGAACTACGGAACGAAAGAAAAACGAAACGATTTAATACTATGAAGAATTATATAGAAAAAACCGGAGGAATAAAAAAAGGCACTGAAAGAACTAAATCGAAAAAAGGATTGTATACTAAATATAAAAAAAGAAGGATGGTAAAATTACAGAGAAGAGACCCGAGATACTAAAAGCTGCTACAGAATTTTATCGAAATTTATATCAAAGTCAAAAGCTGGGACAAGTGGTAAGAGAATATGATGCATCTACCGATGAAGAGGAAATACCTAAAATACTAAACGAAGAAACCACAAAAGCAATTAGTACACAAAAGAATGATAAAGCTCCAGGATCAGACCTCATTACATAATAATCAGTTCGGTTTTACCAAGGGTCGCTCGACAGCCGATGCCGGTGTTGAGTTATATAGATATATAGTTTACCTTTCGGAAATGTTTTATTAGATTCTGTTGATTCGTGCCACTTACATCATAAACAAAGATGCATTGTGATACTTGTATTTCAATAACGTGTTACATAGTATTATTATTACTATAATATGCAAAGATTTAAATATTACATGGTTAAGCCAACAAAAATTTGAGTACCATTAGCAAGCCGTGTTATTTAAATTATATTGCTTCGCGGAAAAGTACCAGATCGTCAGCAACGACATCCGAAACGTGAAGGTATATAATCCAGTACATTAGGTTGAAGCAGAAAAATAAAACGGGAAAAACTATGCGCGAGTACTTGTCGACGTCCGAAGGGGTCGTGCCAAACAGCTTGTTGGTGTTCTGTAAATTTTTTTCCAAATTAACATTTTTAGACTATTATAAATTATTGTATTATACATTTGCGTTGCATTACCGAATTCGAATTTGCTTAACAATTGAGTATTAGAACGTCGACTAACCTTCAATTCTTGTAGTAGATGCGGTGGTATTTCTTCTTCTGAGGGAGGAGCAGCTGGCGCTGACGGTGAGGGGGCTCTTGCAGCATTAATCGTGTTTTCATGAGACACACTATTTGAATATGCTTTCGGGTCGTGGATTTCGATGGATACCTCCTGTGTGTGAGAGTTGTAGGACTAAATTAAAGGCAGTAGTATCAAATGTTTTTCAGTTATAGGCTTTGATTTAAACTAAAAGAATGTTGTACGTACCGATGAGCGGCTAGGCTGAGCAGGTCTTGGAAGTGTGCTTGTTCTAGGCGGTGGAAGTGGCTCAGACGTGCCAGGAGGCCCATCGATATGTATCTTTTTCTCTGCAGCCTGGATAGCAGTAAATTGTTGTTTCTTCATTTCAATCCTTTTAGGCCTGTATGCAACAGTAGCGTATTCTGAAAAGGAAATAAGGCTAATTCACCCTTTCCAACTTAGCAGTATTGTTTTGAAAAAATCTTGATACAGCACTATACATAAAAAGCATCTTTTAATATTGCTTACCTAATAGACTAGCGAAGACCATTATTAAGCAAAATCCGAGGTAAACATCAATGGATTTAATATACGAAATCTTGGGAAGAGCAGAGTAAATTGAAGACACAAAAGAAGTCGTGGCCAGTACAGTGGTCACACCAACAAAGACACGTGAGGGTATTGCGTTTCGATTGAACCAAAATGATACCCATGATATGATCACAATTAATGTAGACGGAATGTATATTTGAATCAAATAGTATCCCAGTGAACGCACAAATTGGATTTCGCAAGCCAATCGGGAGTAATTTCCTGCAAAAGAACTCTTGTTTAGTTAAATGTTTCGATAAATTAGAAAAAGATAGAGATTTTTAAAAGAAAGAGCATAAGAGTCGAATCAAGCGATTAACATGCAAATGGTCGTTCACTCATTCTAACGCTCATTCTTCATCACTGGTAAATATTGATAGTGCCAAGTACCTGTCCTAAGAGAAATCTCCATAGATCGTTGTCGATGGCCGAGAATCTTGAACGGCGGCAGGGACTTGACTTCACTTGATATGTCTATGGAGTTGGGCCCCTCATTCCACTTATAACGGATTTTTTGCACGGGGTGGCTAACTGTACCATGCAGAAATATGGAACGATAAAATAAGCACCCATTCCACTGGGGTTTTAGTATATTGTAGAGTGAATGAGCCATCTACCAAAGCGAATATTTCGAAGTGAAATGAAAAAAAAATGTATGGCAAAAAGAAAGCGTTAGTTTGTATATGTCTACAAGCTACTTGGATATCCACAATAGTTTTTGAGTTTAAAGCAAACTTAATTATTATGTAACTTTAGCGCAAAACTATACATGGTCTTTGTTTTCATAATAAAGTAAGTGTTCGAAATACATTATATTAATTTTATAAAATTGATGAGGGTGATGCCAAATATTTACACACGGCCGATCGACACATTTTTTGATAGTCATTGTTGAGATTCTTTCGGGTTACGTGTTCTCGTGCATCTAGCATTTTTTATTTGGATAATACATAATATATACTTTTTGTTAATTATAGTTGATTATAGATACGTCCACTATTTAGAATTTTATAGTGAGTGTTTAGTGCGTGTTTAAGAACTATTGTGAGGCAAGGTATAAATCATCATCAGTCTAACCTCTTTTTGTGCCCAAACTAAAACTAATCCAAATCCTTACGGCTTACAATATTGTGTGCCTATCTTCCTGTAAGGAGACATTAACGAGGTATGTACTCAGGACTTATTATTTTAATATGAATTGTGTATCGACGGCCACCGAACCGTTCTTTGTGGTACAGTAAGCTTGGTATGAAACTCACAGCTTTCGATTTCAATCTTGCACAGTTGACGATCCATAGGAAAGTATTGTAGGTCCATGTGACAGGAAGCCGTTATTGTATATCTAAAAATAAAAAATATTTTATCAAATAATTCATCTGCTGCTGAACTTGGAACTACTAAAATATTACTTTTACTACTAACCTATTGGCTCGTGTAATATATCCAAAACCATTAATAATTATATATTCATTGCGTGTTGTTACAGTGTGAAAATAGGTTTTTTTTCATTTACGAAATATGTGTCAGGCACCCATATGTTCTTAATAAATTCTGATCCAAGTAATACTGCTTCAACACCTGGCCGCTTTATGAATGCAAGCCTTGGATCAGTCCAGTACTGAAGTAATAATAAATCCAATGTGAAATCCTGAAACAAAAAAAATTAATAATAAATAAAAAATTAATTAATAGAAAAGATCTCACTTCAATTGCAAACACAATTATTCATTCCGGACGTCGTGCAAAAAACTGTGTTATCCAATTCCTAAAGGAGACGTTTCGAATAGAAATTCGAAAAGGCGGTTAATATTGGCGGTTTTGTGTTAAGAAAAAAAAAAAATTTATTAACACAAAACCGCCAATATTAATATCGCGAATGAGTTTTTGAATAGTTTTTGTTAAAAAATTAAGAGCAATTTAATACAATTTTAATGAATGTTAAACAGTTAATAAATGATAGGGATGGGATGGGAAGAAACGTATCCTTTATTTTTAAATGTGAATTTTCTGTGCCTTATTTTAGTCAACTTGTGTTTGATATAAATTCTCATATTGTTGCAGACATATTAAATCTAATAAGACAGCTAATTAGTATTTTAATTTTAAATTATAATAATACGTTATTTATTGTAACGTTGTCATAGATATGTCTATATGTCTGCAAATGAGATTAAAAAAATAACAAATTTTTGTTTTGTTTGCTCATTATATTAATTAAGTACACGTAAAACATTGATCGAATATCATTCTACATAACTGTATTAAGTTGAAATCGAAAGTTAATTTAGAACATATATTTATTAACAATCTAACAGCTATAGTTTTGGTCACGTCAGTGGTGACTTTATGTATGTCGTCCCCTTGATTTGGTGTCCACTAGGGGTCACAAACCCTGGTCACAGTTAGACGGTGTAATTTGGAACCGTTATCAAGGGAGAACCATAAGTGTCTTTGTGGAGCCTGCCTATTCTTATTTAAACTCAGTCTGTTGGGTTGTCCTGGTCAAAAATGTCTCGCCGCTTTTTTAGTCGTCGAGTAGTTTTTGGTATAGTTAGCTGTCCTGCGAGCTGTTTGGGGTGCTTTTGAAGTCTTAGTTTGTAGTTATACCCATGTGTGATTGTTTCCTCTTTTACCATGGGCATATTAAGAAATTCATGGACTTCTGTTGTTTTGAGAAACCATGGGGTGTTTGATATTTGCTTGAGTATGTAATTTTGAGCTCTTTGTATTATTATTATATTTGAGGCACTAGCAGATCCCCAAAGCTGTATTCCATATGTCCGTACTAATACGTACGTACTAAATTGAGCTTATTGTCGCGGCTAGATATTATAATAACGCAAGGTTGAGAGGCGGAACACAAAATTCATCGTCGTACAAAAAATAAAAGAATTTTCAACGTTCACCTGTACCGAAATAAAGAAAATCATAAAACAATTACGCTTCGAAAAGTTCCCTCGTCCAACTGGAACTCAGGGACAACATTACAAACATTAAATACATTCATAGCAAGACTACTGAAAGTAAGAAAATTATTGCGAGTGGCGATTTTGAGGTGTAAACGCCAATATGGGAGACAATGGTAAGAAACCCACAAACACAACAGATACCTTCTCAAAAACATAAAAAGCTCAAAACAAAATAACAACAAGAAAGCATCGACAAAGTCTTGGGGCTTGAGCAAATTACATATTTGTCATTTTTGACACACCTGGAAGGTTAAATTTGGAACAGTAAATAGCATTTCTGGTAGTGTTAAACCGACCAGGAGGTCTGCTCCAATGCCCCGGCATGCTCGCAGCCTCGTGTCTAGAGCTGTCTACACACCGCAGCCGCCGGCCCGCCGGCACGAACCCGGCGGGCAAGGCCGGCGGCCTTAGTTTTAACGATGTTGCCGGCGGCTTGCGCCCGCGCGATCTTCCCCGCGGCACGCCCCTCTCCGCTCTTCACCACCGGTTGCCCACCGGCTTTTAAAAAATAGTGACGCGTCAGTGTTTTTATCGACTAAACATTATGGAATCCGTTAATGAAGTGGAGAGAAAAATAAAAAATTTAACAAGTCACTAGCAAGCACTTGGCAATCACTAATTGTGAACACTGCATGCCGCGACTGTATGTCGTGCCGCCGGGAAAATTGTCAGGCTCGCAACTTCTAAAGCCGCCGGGTTCACCCGCCGGCATTAACCCGGGCCGGCGGCTGCGGTGTGAAGACAGCTTAGGGCTGCTCGGTCGCTCGGCGCTGAGCCGAAGCGGCCGAGAAAAGCGTGAGCTGACAGTGACGAGTACCATGTTCACTTCGGAGATGGAGTTGATAGACAGCACAGTCATGGTGACGCCCACCTCCAATGGCGGATCTGCAATCAAGCCCAATCGTGAGTCGAGCGCGCATGCGCGAGATAATAAGATATAATTTTACTTTCGTATTTTCTGAAATATGAATTTTAAATAAGCTCCTTAAAGAATTGTGCAACAATAATAGTTCTAGAAACGAGACATTCAGCTCTCCTGACAGCTCAGACAATGAGCTTAAATTATTCAAAGCGAATTCAAATATTATTATTTATGTAAGAAATTACTTTGGGCGAATGTACAAACAGAATAGTAATGTTGTTTTGTTGTCATAACACACTATTGATTTGAATTTACATTCTTAGTCGCGCTAGTAAAATTTTACTTACTAAAAATTCAATAACATTTAAGAAATATGCATTATTTTTTCGTCGCTGTTCTATTGGAACGAAGTTCCTTATCTCGCGTTGTGAAAGGGGGCTAGACGGAAAAAATTCTTACGAAAAGTTGTCACGACACTTTTTTGCTATTTGCTATTGTAATACACCGGTTCTCGTCCGATCACCGAAGTTAAGCAACGTCGGGCGAGGTCAGTACTTGGATGGGTGACCGCCTGGGAACACCTCGTGATGTTGGCTTTTTTTTTTCGTCGTAAGATTGGTGTCGAGAAAATCTATCATACTGTTATGATACCAATTAACATATAAATTAATCGAAAGGAATTTCGTTCCATCCGGGTATCCCTTGACACCTCTAAAGTTTTTTTTTGATTTACATCACATAACAACAACAAATTATTATGTTAACAAAAAGTTTGAGAAATTTTGAACGTGTGCACTATTACCACTCTTGCACTCACAGCAAAATTATGTAAATAGCGTTAGATTTTTGCAGTAAGCAAAGCGGAGTTTTGGGAATATGAAGATCACTCACCGAAATAATTGGGCATCAGTCTTTTGTCGTAGCCGACAGTCAGGGAGTCCAAAATAGCCGAGATGTTGTCATCGCCAAGCATTCCTCCGCCTTCCGCGCCCCTGTTGACAATGCTTCATTATATCATCTTTTATTTACGTGAATGTCAAGTTTCCTATTGATGACTAATAATTTTTTTCATATACCAGGCATCTAACGGGCCTTAACAGTGCTATCCTCTGTTGCCGGTTGTTACACTTTTTCTTTGAAGGACTTAATTTCCGCCGTTGAGCGGCGGTGTGAGATAACTCTAAATATATCGTTTAAATTAATCTATCAATTTCTATTCCCATATTGAAATTTACATAAATTTAATTTACTTAAATGATATATTTTTACATATTCTCTTTTATTAAATTCACGAAAGCGCGAGATGCAATACTAATTATTATTATAATGCGGAAGTTAACATTTAACTCCGAACTGTCATCATCAAAGCAAAATAATAAAACAATTGCTTTAGCTGAAGGTTATTTAAATGCGGGCATTAGGAGATTATTTAAACTAAAAAAACCATACAACTTGCATTAATTTTGTTCGGAATTTTGACAATAAAAAATTAACAAATTATCAATAAAGGTGATTTATATAAAGTTAGGCTGTGTTCAATGGTTTAGCCGCGTCTATTCCGTGGTTGCGTGAGCCTCGTTAAATGGACCATCCAACTTAAAAATACCTTTTTAATCTCCATTTAGGAGATTCTGTTTCATGATCATTTGTCAATCTAATAGGCAAGTAGGTGTTCAGCCTGAGCCTGACTCACGCTGTCGACTTTTTGGGTCAAAGGAAGTTTCCTCACGATGTTTTCCGTCACCGTTTCATCGAATATTAAATGTGCACATAGAAAGTCGACCTCAGGGATGAGAGTCGTACGCTGGAGCCACTAGGCCGGCACTGCTCTATGATCATGAAACAGATTTTTATTTTATTTAGGAGATTAGCGTGTTCAATTAAACTCAAGCTTCATGCTATTATTAAATTATCTTATATTCATAAAAACTAAATCAGTTTTATAATTAATTTAAATTCTTATAATTCAAATTATATACATTTTACGCTTCTCTAACAGATGCAATTTTGTAATACTATTTACATAACACACCTCATGCTTTTTAGGCAACTCGCTCCCTGATTCCATACGATTAGCTCTAAGGTCTTTTTAAATACACTTTTTGCACTTTAGTATTTCTTTTTCCGTACTTAAAGAGTCGTTGTTGTTCAATTATATTGCGTATATGTTACCTTTTTTACAAGTACTCTTATAATATAAATACATACATGCACTTTAATTATAAAGTACTCTCATTTCCGTCGTTTTCTGTCAAATTGTGCTTACGCTGTGATAAAGATATATTAATACTTTAGTAACAACGCTGCAATGCGACCTTTCTTATATGGTATTTCTTATTCATGTACAAGGAGTATTATACAGAAATGCCAATAAGAAAAATATTATTGACTTAAATTTTAAAGAATTCATCCGAGATTAAAACTAATAAAACATTAATCTATATTGTTTTTAAATTAATTCAGAAAATGTTGAAAGCAATATGAAATATTTTTTTTTTCTTTATTTTTTTTTCTAATTTTTTTTTCTTTTTTTTGTCAGACCAATTTGTTGGTATACTAGATCTTTGACGTAGTAAATTTTATAGAAATATACAGTAAACTTTAATTTGACGTTTACCTAAATAATATAATATGTTATATGATTGGTGCGAGCAGTGTTGGACTACTGGCTACAGCGTGCGACTCTCATCCCTGAGGTCGTAGGTTCGATCCCGGCTGTGCACCAATGGACTTTCTTTCTATGTGCGCATTTAACATTCGCTCGAACGGTGAAGGAAAACATCGTGAGGAAACCGACATGTCTTAGAGCCAAAAAGTCGACGGCGTGTGACAGGCACAGGAGGCTGATCACCTACTTGCGTATTAAATTGAAAAATGATCACGAAACAGATTCAGAAATCTGAGGCCCAGACCTAAAGAGGTTATAGCGCCACTGATTATTATTATATGATTGGTAGACTCAGTTTCCGCCCTTAGACTTGTACTCGGTCCGTTGTGCGAAATGATATAATATAAAATTATACAAATAAAATGTTTGCTTTAAAGTCTGCGATACACTGACATAAATTGCAGTCGACGTCAATATTGCTAGCGCAATCAATTTCCCCGGAAATTGTGTTAAGGCAAACAGAGGATCGTGGCAAAATCAGTTAATTTACCCGTTTCTAATACCTTGAAGAAATAAGATTGAAATCCTAGCTGATAATCTAAGAGTTAATTGAATATTTTAATCACCGCTTATTTTACCGCTCACTGAAAACAACCAACCTACGCTTTAAATCTTACAAAATACCAGAACAAATAAATTAAGATATGCTCGTAAATTATATGTTGAATAACTAATTGTTCATAGAATCAGGACTCGTGCGAAATTAATCTAACAGAGGTATTCAATACCAGAGGGAAATTTAATTTCACAGTCAGGAAACTGACCACGGCATTGACATTTTACATGAAGCGATGAGACATGCTTAAAAGTTGCATTGCGAGAATTTTGATTTCAAATTTATTGAATAACAAATTTTACTGGAACATATTTATTGGTATTCGGTACCAACTCGGCTATTTAGTCTAGCTTGGCATTTTTTCTTATTGTTTGGTAATACAAATTATATTATATTGCTTACTTTTTGCCTGTTAGTATACTTGTTTATGTCTATAATGGCCGCAAAACCTGGTACTCTGATTATCAATTCTTAAACATAAGGAATACATGACAAGCGTAATTTAGAATTTCGCTACACTTATCATAATTAACAGTTTTTTTTATATATTATGTTGGAGCGATGGTGCTGGTATTAGCTGCCATTGTCATTATAATTTAATAACATCAATGGCAAATTTGTTCAAAACCGTTAGTACGAATGGTTTATTTAATTTGTCAATGTTGCTATAAATTACCGACTTTTCAATGGTCGATAATAATAATGACTCCGTAGTCATTATTAATAAAGTTATTTATCATAAATTCAAACATTTGAAACTTAGATAGATATTAAATTAATCTTTGACACTCGTTCCTATGACTGCCGTTTGACCACCTCGCGACGGCCCAAGCCGGAGTCGGAGTCTCGCAGGAGACGCCCTTGCGCTTGTCGCGGGAAAAACGCCCATTAAGGCCGAGCTGAGCTGTAAAGACCCTTAAGGCTAACAGCGAGATTTCAATTAAAAAAAAATACTTAAAATAGATGTGGTGTCGTGGGACACCAGGTAGGAACGAAGTTCCTTCGGCTAATGTAGAATCGACACAATTTGCAAAAAAAAAAATCGTGCTCAATTTTATGTGGGTTTCCTTGATTTTTCTGTTAAATTTTGCTGAATAGTTTTTATTTAAGTACAGGAAAGTATTTAGGAAATTCAGTATTTTAGGAAATAATAAATTACGTAAAATAAAAAAAAATCGTAATTCAAATTATCAACTAAAATAACAAAATATGTCTCTTTATTTTTGTTTGACAACATAAAATTACATAGAAATAGAAATAATTCCAAAAAAAGTTTATTATTTTTATTATAAGTAATTCTTATTAATTACTCTCGTCATTAAATTCTATTGCTGAAACTATTGGCTTGTGGATAAGAAAGAGGGAGAAAGAGAAAGGTATTATACACTACTCGCTTGTGTATACGACTGTCGCGCCTGCGCACGTCTCATTTAACGGTTTTATTCCACGGACTTTTTCTTACGGTTTTACTCACATTTTTTTCAGTTCGGTCGCGCAGCAAAATCCCTATCTCCTCCAAGCCTGCCATAAGGAACTTCGTTCCAAAAAGTAGACTCTAATGTCGAAATTAAATGTCTGATGCCTACAAACTAATTTATGACGTCATTATCTTCAACATTTTATCAGCAGGTCTTGTTGGAATTGATTCGAAAACCACTTGTCGAGCAGAAATTGCCGTAGAAACGTTCAGAACACAAAAAAAACGATATGGTCTTAGAATAAAATAATTGCTTTTAATGCAAATAAATTTGAGGAATACAATTTCGAATTAATTTTGGGTAGGCTAGATTGTGGTATAAATCGATTCTTTTCTGTAGATATTTAATAAACAAATAAAGATTTTATGTTAGCTGTATAAAAATAAATTTTACTGTTCATAATAATTAATTAATATTATTATTTAATTATTTCAATTTGTAAATTACGATGTAAATTCACCTTATCGAAAAAAATATTAAGTAACTGTAAAGAAATAGATTCTTGCAATTTGATCTTTACTACATTAGGAGTTATATATGCGTGTTAATATCATTTGTGAATTAGATGTAATAAAAACTTTCTTACCTCTTGCATTTTTTTTTTCTAGTTATTTCATTAACTTTGAAATGCGAACTGAACAACAATCGAATACCTTACTTCTCTTGAAGTTTACCATTTCAGACAACACAAGATTCTAACTTCAGATTCGTTCAGGAACACAAAGTACATTTTTACTAAAAAGTAAAAAAACAAATGAATTATCAAATAAATAAAGTTTATTAAATTTTGATTTTGTACAACTGTCCTGACCTCTCGTACACAAATCTCCCTTGACACACTATATTCGTACAAACTGTATCTAGTTTACAGTCTTAAACTATCTGGTTGGTTATGTACATATTATGTACTGGCATAGAAGGATATAAATTATTAAATCTATTGCCTATATCGGTGTAAAGCGTACTCATTGATACCAAACTGTATTGCAGAATCCCCTTTCCAACAATAGGTCACTAACAAATATGTATTCAAACAAAATATACCTGAGGTATTACGCTAGACTGTATTCGAATTTCGAAATAGCCGTGAATATCAGATATTAGGTCCTTACATATGAAATTGGCGTATTTCGTACTTTCCACTTTAATCACGATGTTCTCCTCTTTGGTAGGGAATTCCAAATTCAAATTTGTACAGCTATTTACTCATGTATTTGTGCTTCGATGACCGTCATTCATTTGTTTTTTTCTGTTTGCGTCACTCATTTTAC